CTAGTCCTGTGCCCGCTGCTTTTATTATGGGGTCACAGCTCCCCGGGTTCATTTCCTCTTTAACCCCCAGAAGCCTCTATAAGAGTTCGTTGCTAAAATAAATAAACTGAAGTATCCCCGGCAGAGAAAATAACAAACCGCCGATCACCGATGCAATGAAGGGAAACCGCCACCCAAAGAATCTTCAGAACCGGACTTTTCCAGCACTACATAAAATGACACGGGGGTCAGGGGACGGAACCATAGGACTGGTAAATGAGTGACAACTAGGCAAATATTTGTGTTTGGCTGCGTTCTGTGTCACCATAGTTAATGGGCGTTGTTCCCGCGTACGCAATTTCAGCCAGAGAATATTTTTTAGAAGTCCTGTAAACAGAATTTTCATTATTTTTGCCAAAAAATGCGTCTGCCATAGAGATAAGAAAAACCCAATATGTGCTTTCACCAGGGATTCTCTCTCCCTAGAGCAGCGACGGCGAAGCTTTTGGAGCCCGAGAGCCCAAACTGGATCACTAAACCAACTTATGTATCTCAAAGTGCCAACCCCGCACTTAGGGCCCATTCACACTAGATGCAGTGCGTTCCGGCCCGATTCTGGTCAGAACAGCATTTGCACATGCTTGCAGCATTTTGATCGCACCGAACTGCAGGCACAATGTGCCTTGTGATCCCGTGCGGGCGATTGCATTGCGGCCACGACGCTAGAGCTGCAGCTAACGATTATTTTCAAAATCGATTAGTTAGCCGATTATTAAGTTCGATGAATCGGATAAACAATAAAATAAAGTTTAAAAAATGGCTCCAGTGATGGACTACTAGTTTGTATTGAGGTTGTAGTCCATCACAGGAGCGAGCTTGGAGCGGTGGAAGTAAAAAAGATAGTGTGGTGTGCAATATAGTGAAATGGAAAGTGTAAAATTATACAGCAATCAATACAGAATGGCACCGGCTATAGAGGACTACAAATCCCAGCAATAGTACGTTATACAGCAATGCAGAATACCGCCAGCTATAGAGGAGCACAACAAATCCCAGCAATAGTACATTATAGCTGACGGTATTCTGCATTGCGCTGTATAATGTACTATTGCTGGGATTTGTAGTCCTCTATAGCTGGTGGTATTCCGCATTGCACCACTGTATAATGTACAATTGCTGGGTTTTGTAGTCCTCTATAGCTGGTGGTATTCCGCATTGCGCTGTATAATGTAT